CCAGCATCCATGGACATTTGGAGCTCACATTTTTGTAAGAAATGAAGGAACAACCTTATTTTACAGCATCTCTGCTGCCTCTGGCTGTCCTCAGGCAGGTGTGTGTGTGGAGTGACTGGGCAGCAGAGCAAACAGCTCTGGTCACTGCTGAGTCCCTGCTGGGGGAGCAGATCTGAACTGGATGTCAGGGTCAGACACCCAGTCCTGCCCATTTCCCATCCATTCCCAGCCTGGAGCAGCTTCCCCCTGCTCATGGCACATCCTATGGTGTTATGGTGTTGGAATTTGTGGTATTGATGATTATGAGATTGTAGAAAGTCTTTGTTTTTTTTGCTTTGTTGCTAAAGAAGAAGTTATAATTTGTCTGTGCTGGTTTTTAAGGTTGTTTATTCTTGCTTATCTCTAACATGTTCTGCTGCCCTGCCCCAGGTCTGTCCTGCAGGGCAGCGTGTGGGGCTCTGCCCTCAGTGGGATGTTATAAACATGATACACTAGAAATTATGTGTGCTATATTTATAATAATGTGCTAATATCTATCATCTGTGTTGAACAGTGTGTTTCTAGCCTAAATTAATAGAAAAATGCCAACACTACAGTGAAACATGGAGGGCATGAAGAAGAAGAAAAAGGACAAGACACACCCAATTTCCTCCATTTTGTCCCCTTTGGATCCCTTATCTAGAATCCTAAAATTTTACTTGTGCCTGTGCCACACTTAATTATTACTGATATCAAACACTCAAAGCTTGTAATTCATCCTGTAAGATTGAAAACTCTTTTCCATGGACAGAGATCACAGACAGTGTCTCTGGGGGCTCTGTCCAGGGGGGTTCCTGACCCCTGCCAGGGTCCCAGACGTGCCAGGGCAGCCAGAGGGATGCCCTGGATTCCCACTCCATGGCACACCAAATCCACGTTTCTGCAAAACTGAGAGCTTTGACAGCCCCAAAATAACTTTTATTAAATACACCAACATATTTGGTTACTCACTAAACATCTTGTAGTGCTCATTCCACAAAGCATTCCCAATGAGGACCATCCCCAAGGACTGGAGAGTTCTGTGGAGGTTGTTTCTCTAAATAAAATTTTCATATTGGACAAATAGGTCAGGATGAACACTTGATTCCTTCCTCTGCTGTTAAATATTTGCTCTCCTACCTTCCCTGCTGGGCTTTAGCCATTTGCAGGCCTGAGGATGGCATTTGGGTTAAAAATGACCACTGGGGCACAGGGAGCTTGAAAACAGCAGGGAAAGAAGAAAACAAAAGTTGCAAGGAAAATAATTTCATTCTTGGCTTCCTGGATATGCTCAGCTTTTAAGTATTCTGAGGTTACATGAGGAAAATTGACTAATTCAGGCTATAAAGAAATTTTAAAATGCATATGGATTTTAAGGCATTATAAAGGAATTCTTGGACAGTTCCCTGGGGCTCAGTGTAATTGTGGTGGCTTTCTATTAATTCTGTGCAAAAGTTGTAAAATAATAACTTGAGGCAAGGAGTGGTGTTATTTGGTATTCATTTCTGTTTCTGTATCTGCTCTTAGGGACTATCCTGAAAAATTTAGCAGAACATTTCTTACTAGTTTGTACTTTAACTGTTGTATTAAAATGATTTTTCCCCTCACTTTTTTTTTTTTTTTTAACTTTCAAGGAAAACAGATCTCAAGTACAAGGCTCTGTCATGATACCTCATCTCTTTCCATCGTCGTAATAGTTACATGGAAAGAGGACAGAAAAAAACAATATTGCAATTTTTTCCTTACCAATGTTCCCTACAACATGACAGAGACTCTGAGAATGGAAATACAAAATGTGACAAAAATATAAACTTATTCCTGCTGGCAAAAAAACCAAACCAAACCAAACCAAACCAAACCAAACCAAACCAAACCAAACCAAACCAAACCAAACCAAACCAAAAACAATCAAACAAAAACAACAATAAAACCAGCCTTAGAACAACCTCTGTATGAGTGTTCTCTCAGTCTCCCTCTTGGTGTGGGGTGTGATGGAAATCTCAGGTCCAGGGGCTTTGATTAGTGCAGAAACATCCAGAAAATCTTTATGGAGGAGAAGGGGCAGAAAACAGTGCTTGACAACTTCAGCAGGGTGTTCTGAGAGAGAGAAAATACAGAGCAGTGCTGGGAAGGGGATTGATTTTTCCTGGGGCTGTGCAAAGATGTGAACAGAGGGAAGAGAGCAGAGCAGCTCTTGGGTGAAACAGGAAGGCAAGTAATAATTCTGTTATATTGGTACCATGGTCAAGCCATTTCTCCAGGTCTCTGAAACCCTTTCAGGCCTTGAATGTCCTTCTTTATTTTCTCAGTTCCAAGAAAAAGGTCCTGCAGTCCAAACCAGAGGTCCATTTATCTATTCCATTTATCTCATTTTACTCTGCACCAGCTTTAAAATAAGTACTGCTGTACACTCACTAAGTATTTTATTTACATCTTGCAATGCTGTCTAGGATTAAAAATATTTTAAAATGTCATGAAAAATTTATAAAAGTCTCAGATGAAGTATCAAAAATCCTCACACAAAGCAGCAATAAACCCCTTAAGCATCATTCTGTCTCAGACAAGTCAGATGAAATAACTGGCAGGACAAACAGACATGCTGAAGGAGCTGCACAGGGAATTTTTGGGCTTGTGTTACCAATCAGTTACAAAATGTTCTGGAGGCCTCTCCTCTGGCTCCTCAGAGCACTCAGAGGGTCTGATTGCTTTCCCCTAACACTTTTTGGCAATATTCCTTCACCTTGGTTCAGAAGGGCTGTGCAAAGTCCAGCAAGTCCCTAATGAACTGGGAGCTATCATTTATCTGCTTCCACCTTTGAGAAGAAGTTCCTCCTCTGTTCCATCCATCAGGACACAATTGCACATCTATCCAACTTCCAGCAGCACCTGATGGGCTCCTGGGATGCTTCCAGGGGTGATACTGGACATCCACAGAGATTAAAAGAGCAGAAATATCATTATTCCAGCAGAGGGTTCCTCTGAGGCCCGGTGGCATTGTCCTTTTTTGGGCCTTGCTAAGCTGAAACGCCGATAAAAAAATTAAATTTTATAATTTTAATAAAGATTTGTAGGGAATGGGTATGTTTATTTACAGTGCTGTGGACCCATGTCAGGACTTATTGTCCTCTGATGGACATGTGTACTTCTGAGAACTTTTGATTTTTAAAATTACTTTTATTAATTTTTATATGTATAGAATTTTATAATAGGTTAATGTATATTTATTTTGCTGATTTTATATTATACTTATAGCTAGTTGTACTTAGTTTTTGTTAGAAAGTACAGAAAGAAATCTTGGGTTATTTTGTTTTGTCTGTTTTAAGGTTTGAGGAGTCTTTTTTATCTCTTATTTTTTAGTGTGGAAATTTGCATTTTTATTTTTTTAGCTGGGGCAGTTTTGCTAGGCTTGCAGTCACCAGACTAAACAGCATATTTAGCAAGTTTAAAGTGGCACATTTCACCTAAATTTAAATGGATTTCTACCTTGTTAAATTTTTACTCTGTCTCAAGCTGCAATTTTGTGATTTCCTCTGTTACCACCCTGGCTTGGCTGCACCATGGACAAAAATTGATATATTTATATAGATATAGATATAGATATAGATATAGATATAGATATAGATATAGATATAGATATAGATATAGATATAGATATAGATATAGATATAGATATAGATATAGATTTATTTATTTATTTATACTTATATATATATACTGCAGCAATATAAAATCAGAGAATCCCAGGATAGTTTGGGTTGGAATTGACCTTAAAACTCATCCAGTGCCACCCCTGCCATGACAGGGACATCTCCCACTGTGCCAGGCTGCTCCAACCCCAGTGTCCAACCTGGCCTTGGGCACTGCCAGGGATCCAGGGGCAGCCACCCCTGTGCCAGCCCCTGCCCACCACCCTTGGCAGGAGGGTTGGAATAAGAAGATCTTTGGGATCTCCCAGGCCTGCTGCACCTTTTTGTGGAATTGGCTGTTTCTGTTACTGAAATCATTTTTCTGTAGCTTGTAGTGGTGGTTCTGCCCTGCAATGACACGGGCAAGGAGATGCAGGGAATGATTTCAAAAGGTGACAGAGGATTTGGGAAAGTAAAAAGTCAGGGAAGTGCTGCCCTAGGAACAGGCCTTCTGTACAGAAGCCAAAAAAAGTAACTGGAAATAAATTTCTGATAGAAACAAGTTGTGCATATCTGTGTTTCTGTCTTTCTGTAGTCTCTGGTTAAGCAAATTGAAATATTTCTCCCTTTTGAGTTAATTCATTTAAGCTTCCATAGGTTTTGGAGCAGATAAATTTTGGGTAAGAGGCAGTGATCTACCAGGATTTCACTCTAAATGGTCTCCAGATTTTGTCCACAAATAAATTATCCAGCCTGATTCTATCAGCTACAAAAGCTTACAGACATTACTCCGTTACCTAGATCCCAAAATATGACAAAAATACAAATTATTTCTTGCTGGGCACACATTTAAGACAACACAAAACTCTCACAAACCAGAGAAACCAACTGAAAGCTTTCCAGATACATCTCTGGCCATAATTCCCATTGGATGAATATGGCAAAGGCAACAATCCTGAATAATTGCACTGGATTTAGAGTGACCTTCTGTAAGCTTGTAAAGGAACACATGAATCAAGTAAATTAGGCACTTATTAAATCCACAATTAGTTACATTCTATTTTAAAAAACCCCTCAGGCTTACAAAGTCAAACATGGAGCAGTTTCTTTGCTGGATTTAAGCCCAAATAGATGTGATTTAAGCAGTGCATGAAGAAAATAGCAGCCCTTGTTTTGGGGATTCCTATTTTCTTTTCTTTTTTTTTAGGAGTGGAATGATTTATGATGAATTTGGGAGTGAAGACAGAGCTGAATGAGGTCCCTGGGTGCAAGCACTGTGTTCTGGGTTTGTGGCTTTATGAGAGGGAGGGGGACAGATGGAAAGAGAAAGTGGTTGAACTTCCTATTTGTACTCACTCATCGACTCTGTCAATTTGGCCATCTCTGTTTCTCTTTGGGGCTTCTCCTGGGGGAACAGACAAAATGAAAAACAAATATATATAGATATATGTAATATAGAAATGGAAATACACCTGAGTGCAAGTGGCAAAGTGAGGGGAGGACATTCATCTATTATATATTTCTATTTTATTTAGGGATATAACTTCACTCCTAAATAGCCTGAACCTCTGTGGGCTTTTTGTTTTTTTTTTTTTCTTGTAATTTCTCAATTTTTCCTACTATGAAGTGTGAAGCTTGTATTTATTTATCTGTGTGTATCTAGATGGAGAAATTGAAATTATTCAATCAAAGTGATAACGGAGGAGGAAGCCCTCCCATGTTTTTTCACTCTCTGCTAAAATACTCCAGCGTGTTAGGCCTTCCTGACAAAAGAGCAACCCACAAACCACTTACACTGCAGGAAAAAAGCACTTATTTAGAAATAAATGGATTTTCTATGGGAGCTGGATTGTATTATGTGGCACTGGGCTGACACTGAGATGAACTGAGATACTTGAGGGGCTCCCAATCAAACATGCTGGTCTTTGTCTCTTGTTCCTTGCCTTATTTCATTTTTTTTTAATTTGACTTTTTTTTTTTTTTTTTCCATTTCAGACAATTGTAGCTGCTGTAGCCAAGACCGAGGCTTGCTCAGTTAAGAGCCCTTGAATTTAGTGAAAATCCAATATCCCAAAGCACAGCTCAACCAGAGTAGTTGAGGCTGGGCCCAATCTCCTGATTTCAGAGCCAATGTTTGGGCTAAAAGAAAACTGCAAAGCTCTTGAAACTCCAGGTAAGTGTTTTTGAGAGGATGTGGTGGGGTTGTTGTGACTCCTCTGATCACTCTGGTGGGAGTCCCACCCCCCACCCCTCCACGTGTGTCAAGGCTGCGTGAAAGTGGCACTCCTGGCCATGGGTGAGGAGATCTCAGCTCTTTTGTCCTCAAAAATCCTCAGTAAGGGACAGAATTTCCACAAAAATATGACTTTATTGTGTGTTTCCCCAAACAGAAGCTCCTTATCTCAGCTTTGGGACAAGGTGGAGGGTTTTGGGCAGGGGGACCTTTAGTAGCTGCTGGAGTGACTGGGGACAGGAGTCAGTGTGGTGGCATCTCTCTTTGATTGGGTCTGTCCTAAAAATGGCACCAGGGAAATGCACTGGCTGAGAATTCACATAATTCACAGAATCACAGAATTCCCAGAATCACTGGGTTGGAAGAGACCTCCAAGATCATCGAGTCCAACCCAGCCCAACTCCTCAAACCAGCCCTGGTACCCAGAGCCACATCCAGGCTCTGTTAAACACACCCAGGGATGGTGACTCCACCACCTCCCTGGGCAGCCACTCCAGAACTTTATCACCATTTCTGTAAAACCTTTTCCTAATATCCAACCTGTATTTCCCTTGGTGCAGCTCGAGGCTGTGAGCTCTGGTTGTGTCAGTGCTGCCTGGAGAAAGAGCCCAGCCCCAGCTGGGCACAGGCACCTTTCAGGAGCTGTGGGGAGTGACAAGGTCACCCCTGAGCCTCCTTTTCTCCAGGCTGGGCACCCCCAGCTCCCTCAGTGCTTCCTCACAGGATTTGTGTTCCATTTGCCATGAATTGTCCCTGCCAGGTGTTATTTGGCAGGACAATGTGATTTTCCATGTCCCTTTGGATGTGACATCAGCAGATCCTGCTGCAGAGGTGCCAGGCTGCTCAAGGGCAGGATCCTCTCCTAACTCCAGAGGAGCTGAGGTCTGTCCACTTCTACTTTAGAATCCCAAAATCCCTGAGGTTGGAAGAGCCCTCCAAAGTCATCCAGTCCCAGCTGTGCCCCATGCCTACATTGTCCCCAGCCCAGAGCACTCAGTGCCACCTCCAGGTGCCACCTGCAGGGATGAACACTCCAAACTTCCCTGGGCAGCCCCACTAAGGCCTGAGCAGCCTTTCCATGGTTAGAAAAGGGTGAAATTAGGAAAATTAGGAATTTCCATGGGGAAATTGCTGCTGCTGTCCCAGCTGAGCCTCTGCTGGCCCAGCCTGAGGCCGTTTCCCCTTGTCCTGTCCCTGTTCCCTGGAGCAGAGCCCGACCCCCCGGCTGTCCCCTCCTGGCAGGAGCTGTGCAGAGCCACAAGGTCCCCCCTGATCCCTCTTTTCTCCAGGCTCAGCCCCTTCCCAGCTCCCTCAGCTTTCCCTCACAGCCTCCCCTCTCTCTTAAATACCTTATCCCAGTCCTGGCTTTTATCTGGCACAAAAACCTGAAGAAATATTTTCTATACCAAACAAGCCACTACTTGCACTTCACAAAGTTGGACTTCTATTGATAAAAAGAAAAAGGCTCAAATGTCACAGTAATAGGAACTAATGGCATTCATGAAACAAGCAGAGAATGCTTCAGAGCTGCATTCATACACCCCTGAGAGAATTTTATATGAAAAGAAAGGTTTAAGGTTATGTCCTGGATCTGAGTGAGGACAATGCCCTAAGCCATGCTGATAATGTAGAATCCTGCATCAGATTCATGCCTTGCTATGAAAGCAAAAAAAATGGAGGAAGGAAGAAAGAAGTAGCACAAGAGTGTAATTTTTTTTACAAAAAAAATGTTCCTCTATGAAAGTTTTTTTTGCATGGCATTAATCATCAAAGGAAAGAACAGTACTCTGAAAACCATCAGGAATTTGTGTCTTTGGTGATTTATAATGTGACCTTAAAACTCCCTCCTTTTGCTACAGAACTCAGGAGTGAAGAGTTATCAGGAGTGAACAGTTGGGAAAGATCAATTTGAGCCCTGGAGATGGAGGGCTGGATTTATTAGACTAATAACAAATTGATATTAAATATTATTACTTTCCTCTTGCTTATTATTAAATACCTTTTATTAATGATGAAGTCTCACGACAAAGGATACTTGAATGGCATTTCATTTTAAAATATTAAATATAATATCGAAGGACAAATTTAGAAGTTTTTGAGTTTATTTGATTTTTCTTAAAAGAAATGCCCAGGACTACTGAAGTTCTTTTCTTCCTTCTTTAGTAGATAAAAGTATGTTTATATGCATCCAATATATGAATACTAAAAATTTTTAAATTATATCTAATTTTCACATACTTTTATTGAAAAAATTAACCTTTGCTCATGTTATCAATGAACTTCAGACTCTATGAAATTATTATATAAAATTTTCTCCTTTTCCCTTTCTGTAATGATCATGAGGATGTGCACACATACACCCATGAAGGTCTGGAAATTAGGAAAATTTTTCCACTCCTCTGTTTCTACAAAATGGAATATTTTAAGGGAGCTAGAACACCTCTAAGAAATTTGTTTTTTGATGGCAGATAAAGAAGGAATTCCACCCTCTCTGACAGAATGAGTTCTAGCAGATTAACTTGGGGGAGAATCAAACATTAAAACATACTTTTGTTCTGATTTTAGCAGATGTGAATTTGAACACAGACTGACAGCAAAGTGAGATTTGCTGCCTTCAAAAAAACCCCCAAAATCCAAACCAAAAAACAAAACAACAACAAAAAAAGCAAACAACAAAATGAAACAAGATTAAAAAAAAAGCAAACAACGCCGTGTTTCATTTCAGGACAGGAGTTGCCTTTAAGGGCTGACTGTGGTTGTGTTTCCTCTGGAGATTGCTGGGTAAACAAGAATTGCCACCTCAGAAAACACATCAAGAAAAGCAGGACTCGTTTTTTATCTCTCCTAACACAGTGATGCTCATATTTCAGGTTTTTCATAGCTCTGTAGTCAGCACGGAGTGATTTCTGCAGGGAATTTTGAATCCATGGGCTGTTGCTGCCAATGCTTGCTCTGAGGTGAAGAACCCAAATCTTCCACAAACTCAGAGGAGCCAAACAAGAGCCAGACCCTGCTCTTGTTGTGTGTGGATGTCTCACATGGTTACTGACTTCTGAGTGCCTAAAAAGCAGCAAATTCTGCTTTTTCATACTTGAAATGATGTGAACTTTCCTAAGTGCCAGCAATAGGAGATGTTGTGGTGCAAGGAGGGATGTGTGAAATTTAAATTAAGTGAAGCATGATAACTTCAGCTAGCAAAAAGGGCCATTTAAAATGCTGCTTTGTACTTTTTGCATTGTTTGTGAGGTCTTTCATTCAGCTTAGGGTGTAAGAAAGAAGATGCAAACTCGTTTTCTAATGGAGTTGTTTTCTTTTTTTTTTTTAAAGCAATTTCCTTTCTAGCAACTTCCTTCAGACAAGAGTGGTTGCCCCATCCTACAATATCTGAGGCTGTGATGTCCTGCCTTGTGCTGAATTTCATCTCAAATTATTGTCATGCTGTTGCAACATTTATGGGTTTAAAGGGGCACACAGAAAGTGTGGCCTTCATGTTACTCTTTCCCTTCTCAGCCAAAGAAAATCAGGCACTTTTGGATAAAACTCTCCTTGTCTGACAGCCTGTGCTGCAGTCTGCCACGCTTCTGTCAGAGGGGTACAAGAAGACGTCAGGAGTGCCAACCAGGCAGCACAAAAATAACATTTTCAATGTCAAGCAGGAGAAGATTGAATCAAATTCCAGATGGGAATCAAAACATTGAGCTCCCAGGTCACTTGTCTCATAATGGAATATTCTTCAACAAGACAGTGGATGAACTCCTTGGGATTTTTCTAATGGAAGGACAAGGGCACATCCTGAAACTCCCTCTCCAATGGCTGTTGGCTTCAGCTGGCACTGATTAATGAGATCATTATATTTATTTTCCCAGGGTCACAGGATGGGTCAGGCTGGAAGGGACCACAGAGGCTCACTGGTGGCACCTCCCTGCTCCAGCAGGGCCATCCCAGAGCACAGGGCACAGGGCTGTGTCCAGATGGCTCTGGAATATGCCAGGGAGGAGAGCCCAGAGCCCAGTCCTCAGGGACACCCAGGGACAGACTGGACACACAGGGACACACAGGGACACACAGGAACAGCCTGGGACACACAGGGACACACAGGGACAGCCAGGGACACACAGGGACACACAGGGACACACAGGGACAGACTGGGACACACAGGGACAGACTGGGAC